AGAAGACGACCCCAGGGCTCTGGAGTCAGAAGTGGGGGCAGGGCCACTGAGTTTGGAAACAGGTAGGAGTAACACCATGGCGTGGCGGGAGATGAGCCGGGGCCCTCTGGCTGCCACATCATAGGGTGTGGAGGGGGAGGACCCAAGAGTGTCTGGGGTGGGGGGCTCCTGGCTTCAGGAGGCTGGGGGCGCCATTTGGGGAACATTCTCCAGACTCGGTTTATATTTGAGTTTCCCAACTGATTTCATTGGCGTGGGGGGAGGGGGTTGGTTCCTGTTGTGGAAACTCCCTCCACTAAGGCAGATTTGCAGCTCATTTCTAATCTGAGACTTGGGAATCATTTAGGGCACCGTGGAGTTGGAGGATTTTCGCAGAATCGATGTGTCCAAGCGAGGCGTTGAGCCCAGGTCTGCCATGCTCCAGTGCTTCTAACTTGGGCATTATCAGAGTGGACAAGGAAGCATTTGCCTAATAACTTAACAGCACGAATCAGATGTCTATAGGCATTGTTTACCCTGAGAAGACAAACTCAGGTCAAGGCAGGAAGCTCAGAAGGGCCAGCGTTAGAGCAAAGAGGCTCCATCTGGCCAAAGCTGCCATTTTAGAGATGGGGAACGTCAGGGGGGCAGCTTGAAGATCACCCAACTTAAGGAGCGGGGCTGGGCCTCGTCACAGTCCCTAACACATGCCCTGCGCCTTTGTTCTGATCATTTCTGTCTCCTAGGATTCCATTAAATCTGATGAGCATTTATTAAGTGCCTACTGTGTGCTCGGTGCTATACTAGGTATAGGCATGCAAAGACCAAACGTTCCCAGCCCACAAGGAGTGCACATTCCTCTGGAAGAGGACGAGGTACAGAGGGTCATTGGCAGGAGCCTCCCTGAGCCGCTATTTCCTGCTCTGCTCTTGGAGGCCCGCCTTCGGTGACCTGGAAGCTGCCCTCTGGATGGCATTCGGGTTCCCAAAGGACTGGCAGGCAACTCTCCGTGTTAACCAAGCCTTGTTCCTAGAGGAAAACCTTTTTGCCCGGGAGAAGGAGGGAGGCAGTTGGAGTTAAATGACTTGCCCAGGGTCACACAGCTAGCAAGTGTCTGAGCCTGAATTTGAATTTGGGTCTTCCTGACTGCGGAGCCAGTGCTCTATCCACTGCACCACCTAGTTGCCCCTTGAGGGATACCTAGGAAACATTGCCTTCCTGCCTGGAGCATGCACCCTGCTGTACAGCTCATGGAGCTGGCTGCTGTAGAAATCCTTAGAAATGGCCCTCCAGCCTAACCTCATTTAGCATGTGGGGAAACTGAGGCCCCTTTTGGCCCAGATAATTAGGGCCTTCTCCAGCATGTGTGCCGGGCTGACTCAATGAACACCTGTTTCCATTTCTAGCACGTGAAGGGTTACAGAGCTGTTTGGCGGGCCCACATGGACAAATGTCTCTGTAGCAGCCCTTTCCGTGGTGGCAAAGATCTGGAAACGGGGAGGGCCCATGGCCTGGGGAATAGCTGGTCAGCCCATGGCACAGGAAGGTCGCCTAAGAAGAAATCAGGAAGGTGGGAAGACTTGTAGGAATGTTTGGCTTGATGACATTCAATCCATGAGATAGCAAGCACCTAGTAAACACCTGTTGTTTACCGGCCGGAAGCTGATCGATGCAGAGCCCGGTGAAGACAGGACTGACAGGAAAGTGCTTTCTGCTTCTCAATTGAGAGGGGGTGGACTACAGGGGCAGAATGCAGTATACATTGTCAGACAAGGTCAATGTGTTTTGCTTAAATGTACTTTGTTAAAAGGGAGAGTTCTCTTGGGGAGAGAGTTATGAGGAAGGGATGATATATATATATACATATATATAGATATATATATTTAGGCAATTGGGGTTAAGTGATGAGGAAGGGATGATATATATATAGATATATATAATCTATATCTATATATACATATAGATATAGATATTTAGGCAATTGGGGTTAAGTGACTTGCCCAAGGTCACACAGCTAGTAAGTGTCAAGTGTTTGGTCTGAGGCCGGATTTGAACTCAGGCCCTCCTGACTTCAGGGCCAGTGCTCTATCCACTGCGCCGCCTCGCTGCCCTGAAACATTTCAAAAAATAAAAAAGTAAATATATAAAAGTTGGAAACCAAATACAGTGTTTTCCTCTCCGAGTCCTTGTGGGGTCGGGAGGGAAGACAAGGGTTGTTATTCCCACTTTTCAGATGGTAAATATTTGTGTGTTGGGTGAGTTGGTGTTGGGCCGTGGCCTCAGACACCCGGGCCGCTTAAGTGTCTGGCGGGAGAGATTCTGTCTGCGTCAGCTTCTATGGTCTCCAGCCCGCGGTGTCCAGGACTGCTCGGATCTGTGAGACCGAGCCCCCCCAGGGGGCTGCCGTCGGCCACTGGGACTCAGGCTCCAGATTTGGTGCCTGCAGAAAACTTGCTGGTAATTCCAGCCAGGAGGGAGAGAGGACTTTGAATTTGTTCTTTCTCAGACCACCTTCCTTGAAGTGCTCACCCCAGCCTCCCTCCCTGGCCCACTGGTCCCCTCTCCTTAGGGGAGAAGCATGTGCTGGGCTGGGCCAGCCAACAATGCCCTCATTCAGCTCGGAGGAGAGGGCATGCCAGGTGGGAGGCCCTGAGATGGGGAGGAGAGTGGGGTGGGGGGAGAAGGGGCTGCTGTCCTCACCTCCAGGAGGTGGAGTTGTATGGGGGCTCCTCCTCTGTCAGCCACCCTCACCCACTTCCCAGAGCTCAGACGGGAGCGAAGGAGCCTGTGGCCTGGACTTCGAGGTGAGTCCTTGGGAAACTGGTCAGACAGAAGGCTCTGTCTGCAGAAGGGAGGGAGCAGCAGGGAAAGAGAAGTGGGAGGGAGGTCAGTGTCCTGGGCGCTAGTCCCCTGGCCAGCTGTGTCCTTCAGTCGGCTCTTTCCCTCTCTGGCCTCAGGTTCCTGCTATGTGGGGTGATGGGGGTACAGCTAAGTGAAGCATAAGCCTTTGGATACTTGCCTGGGCACTTCCACATCTCAGGGCCTCAGTTTCCTCCCCTGTAAAATGAGTGGTTGGTTCAGATGTTCCTTCCTGGGGTAATGACCAGCAGCTCAGCTCTGGCTCTTCCCCAGACAGGGGCTGCCAGCCTCACCTTCCCTTGGGGCTGAGGTGGGGGCAGGGCACTAGAGAGCTGGTGGTGGGGATGACCAGTATGTGACCTGCCCAAAATCAACCGGCCCCGGGGGCTCGCAGCCAGCAAAAGAAGGACCCTAATTCACTTCTCCACTGCTCGGTGACAGGGCTCCCTTCTCGCCCTACCTGGGCTCCCGGGCTCTTGCTGTCTGACTCTCCAGGGCTGGGGGCAGAGGGCGTGGTTCAACACACAGACGTTGGAGCTAGAGCCCCGGGTTCTGTTCCAGCCTCTGCCTCAGACCACCTGTGTCAACCTCGATGGCCTCCCAGGTCCCTTCCAACACTAAATCCATGACCCCATGTTCCCATGACTTGTCTGGGCCTCAGTTTTCTTCTCTGTAATCTGAGGGCAGGATCAGATGCTCTCCAAGGCCCCTTCCAGCTTGAGAGCTCTGATCCCATGATCCACCCTCCCCCGTCAGCTTCCTCTGCATCAGAATGATGCCGGTGGTGATGATACCCAGATCTGCATTCAAATCCTGCCTCATACATAGATGGCTGTGGGAGCCTGGCAGGGGCAGGGGCGATGTTAGGGTCCAGAGGGTGCTTTGCAACCTTCCAAGCCCTGGATATGAGGGAACAGTCATTACGCCTTCAGTCAAGTTGTCCTCTTTCCTTTTTGGTCCAGGCCTGTGACTTCCCAGTTGAGGAAAGTCCCTCCACCAATGGGAGCCCCCACTCTGTGACTGATAATCAGAGAGGTGCCTGGGTTCAGAGAGGTTCAGGACCTGGGAAGGGGACAATTCCACTCAGCAGCATTATAAAGCAGAGGAAGCTGTTGGGCCTGGAGATGGGAATGAAGGAAGAAAAGCAGGCATTTCCTGGAGTCGTGCTTTCTTCTGGCTGGAAGCGTGTCTTCCGATCAAAAAGATATTTGAAGGGTTTAGCCCAATCCCTGGCACATAAGGGATGCGTACTGAATATTTATTCCCTTCCCCTTCCTCTGTGGTCCAATGATCCCACAAGCAAGGCCCTGCTTGCAGCTGATTGGGTCCAGCCTGCCCTCTCCCCTGCGCCAAGCTCTACCCCAGGATGTGGAATCCTCTTGGCCTCTCGATGCTGCTGGCCCTGGCCGGCAGAGGACTTCCCGGCCGCTGCCCCCAGGTCTGTGTCTGTGACAACATCAGGAGACACGTCTCATGCAGGCGCCAGAACCTCACAGAGGTGCCAGTCACCATCCCGCAGGTGAGTGGGAGCAGCTAGGACCAGGTGAGGAGCTGGGGGGAGGGAGATCTGGGAGACTAGAGAGAGATGATGACAAGCTTAGTGTCACAGTTAGAGAGAGGTCTGGACCCTGATCAATGAGTTGGTGTGATGACAACCATCAATGGACCAGGCCAAGAAAAATCTATTTCAAAAGCATAGTGTTCAAATGAAACAGATCTGGGGGTTTCAGTGGACCACAAGATCATACTGAGTTAACTGTGTGATATGTCAGCCAAGAAAGCTAGTGTTATCTGAGGCTAAATGAAGGGAAGGATAATGTCTAGGACTGAGATGCACTATGGCATGGTGGTTAGAGCTGGCTCACCTGAAGCTCAGGAAGGAAATCCAGGGTTCAAATTCAGTCTCTGATACCTACTGGCTGTATGATCTTGGGCTGGTCACTTTACTCTGTGCCCCAGGCAACTTTGTAAGCCCACAAATTACACTCTGCATTGGTAGAGGGAGCCTCCATACTGGCAATTCTGTATGTCAATGAAACCATTGATCCAGTCCCAAGAAGGAGATGGTCCTACCATCCTCTGCCCTGGTCAAAACACATAGGGGTACTGTGTTCAGTTCTGAGCACCAGAGTTTATGAAGGACATTGAAATTTTTACGTTTGTCAAGTCAGTGATACCTAGAATTCAGAGTCAGGGGTGTTCAGGAGAGAGTGGGTTGGTCTCAAGTTTCAACCACTGGGTTTCACCAAGGTGTGCTAAGGTAAGAGATCTAGGGTAAGAATACCACCCCCTCCCAATCCATTCCTGGTCATGATTTAAGGACAGGACAGACTGAGGTCATCACCTTGGGAGGAGGGACCAGTAGGGAGGTGGAAACAAGGGGCCACCAGAAGTGAGAACAGGGGAATCCAAGACGTGAGAGGGTGTTCTCACCACCTAGAGGGGTTATTCTCCCAGGAGTGAGATCAAGGGGCTCTCAGAAGTGAGAAGGTCTTCTCACCTCCCAGAGGGGGCGGCTTCTCAGACGTGAGAACAGTGAAACTAGGAGAGAGGGCTCCCAGAGGTGAGAGGGTGTTCTTATCTCCCAGAGGTGGTATTCTCCCAAGGGGGCCTCACAGAGGTAAGACCAGGGTATTCCCAGAATCAGAAGGTGTTCTCACTTCCCAGAGGGTATTTTCTCAAGGTGAGAACAGGGTGCCCCTTGGGTGTTCTCACCTCCCAGAAGGGATGTTCTCCCAAGGGATGAGAACAAGGAACGCTCCCCCCCAGAAGTAAAATGTTCTCACCTCCAAGAAATAACAGAGGGCCCACCTTCCAGAGTTGAGAACAGGAGGCCTATCTCCCTCACCAGAAAGTGTCTTGTCAACTCTGAACACAAGAGGAATTTGAGATATTATTCAGAGTAGATATTATTAGCACCAATATGAATAGTAATGTTATATGTCTGTTACCAGTATTAATAGGCATTAGTATTGTTAATCTAACAGAAGTTTAAGAGACAGGGTGGTACAATGGATAGAGACTCCTTTTCTTTTTTTTTTTTCTTTTGAGACTCCTTTTCAAGTCACTTCCTGACACCTCATGGCTCTGTGGTCCTGAACAGAGCCCCCAACTCCCTTAGACTCAGTAGCAGAAAGATGCTGACTTTCATTGGGAGAGGGAGTTTTATCAGTAGGAACATCCTTTCCTGATGAAATTGCAGATCTAGTTTAAAAAAAAAAAGTATATACATATATATGTGTGTATATATATATATATAAGTACATAGGATGTCCCAAAATTCTCGATGCAGTTTTAATATTTAGCTTTAATAACTTAAAACATCACTTTTGGAGCGTTTGTATACGTACAGATAGTGTATTTATTAAGTACTTACTGTGTGCCAGGCACAGTATATATATTTTACAGTGGCATAATAACTAACCATCAGCATCACTAATGTTATTATTGTTTATGTTAATGTTATCATTAATATCATTACAATTAATCTCCTAACATTAATATCAATGATGTCTGTGTTGATGGTGATGATGGAAAGCTACGGCCAAAGGGTATGATGGAGGCAACGTGGATAGAGCTCTGGGCCTGGAGTTAGGAAGAGCTAGCTTTGAATCCTGCTTCAGCACTTACTAGCCTAGGCAAGTCACACAACCTCTCTGGGCCTCAGTTTCCTCCTCTGTAAAATGAGAGGGTTTAACTCCATGGCCCCTTCCAAGCTCAAAGTCTATGGGCCATGGAATTGTCCTCATCGGTAGACTTTGCTTGCTTTGTGCTCTATGCCTGTGAGAGCAGTGAAGTTGATGAGAGCTAGAGAAGAGAGATTCTGGTCTTCTGGCTTCTAGCTTTGTGAGAAAATGTGTGTGGTTCCAAACTCTCTTTAGGTCCCTAACGGGAGAGAGACTCTGGGAAGGAGTCAATCTCCACCAATGAGGGCAGTCGCATGCAAATGGCCAAGGGTGCCACTGATTTCCAGCATTGACCTGGGAGACAGCAGGGATGGGCTGGGGAATTTCTGGGGCTGAAAGCTCCCTGCTGAAAAATGAAATGAGCCAGTCAGTGCTGAAAGCAACAGGCAATATTGTTGGACAGGTTTAAAGGAGTCTCCAATGGGAAGACAACGAGGCTTAGCTAGAAACACCAGAGGAGGCAGGAGCTGGACAAAAAAGGGGAGGGGATGAGAACAGCCCAAGGGGTCCCTCCCGGCAGATCCGGGACGACACCTGCAAACCAGGGCAGCCCCTCAACGCCCTCACACCAGGTAGGGACTGAAACCCCCTAATTCTGTCAGCCTATTGACCTCCCCCGGGCTAGCCCCTACATCTCCAAAGTAGTGGGGAGTCAGGGGAAGGGACGTCACCGGGGAGCCTTAGGAAACCCTGCCATCCGGGCCTCCTGGATCCAGGCTTTCGAAGGGTAGGAGAGCTGTTTCTAGAGAAGGCTGGGATCCTGCTCAGGACAGTCTGACTGCCTGCCCACCTGCAAGGGCACAGACAGGAAGGAAACCGGCAGTTTCTACATTGGCATGTTCCAAGTCAAGAAGCTTCCAGCTTTGGGATGTGAGTGTGCAGTGTGTGTGTGTGTGTGTGTGTGTGTGTGTGTGTGTGTGTGTGTGTGTGCATGCGAGTGTGTGTGCGTGCATGCGTGTGAGCGTGTGTATGCAGGCATGTGTGTGCATGTGTACGCACATGTATGTGCATGTATGCATGTGTATATAAAATTATATTCCAGAGAAAGGGAGGGAAAGGAAGATTTGACTAAAGCGTGGTCTATTTGACAAAGTTCAAGCAGGCCAGGAAGATGAAAAGCTTCCCCAGACCGTTACAGGGTGCGCTCTGCCCCTCATAAGGGGGTGACCATCCCAAGGTGCCCCTGGCTCCAGTGAAGCAGCCGGTGTATGTGAGGTGCCATTCTCCTGTCATTCACAGATGACCCAGAGGCTGGATCTCCAAGGCAATGCCCTGAAGGTGATTCCCCCAGAAGCCTTTCTGTCACTCCCCTACCTCACTCACCTGGACCTGAGGCATTGCCAACTGGAGCGGGTTGAGGAAGGTGCATTCCGAGGTCTGGGCCGACTGGTCTACCTCAACCTGGCCTCCAACCACCTCTCAGTACTCTACCAAGAGGCCCTGGATGGGTTGGGGTCCCTGAGGCAGCTGGTTCTGGAGAACAACCAGCTGGAGGAGATCCGCACAGGGGCCTTCAGCCAGTTGGGGTCCCTGGGCCTCCTCAGCCTGGCCCACAACTCACTGGTCTACCTGCCTGACATGGCCTTCCAGGGGCTGCTCCAGATACGGTGGCTGCGCCTCTCCCACAATGCCCTCAACGTCTTGGCCCCTGAGGCCTTGGCTGGCCTGCCGGGCCTTCGCCGGCTCAGCCTGGATCACAATGAGCTGCAGGCCCTGCCCGGGGAGGCTCTGTCTCGCCCTGATGGCCTGGTTCAGCTGGAGCTGGGTCACAACCCACTCACCTACCTGGGTGAGGAGGACGGGCTGGCCCTCGGGGCTCTACGAGATCTGGCCTTCGACCACGCTGCCCTGCAGGATGTGGGTGCCGGGGCCTTTGCCCGCTGTCCCCGGCTCCGATCACTAGATCTCCAGAGCAACCAGCTTGGGGGGCTGCCCCCACTTGAGGGGGTAGGCCAGCTCCGGAAGCTCAACCTGAGTGGGAATCCGCTGTTGTGTGACTGTGCTGCCAGGCCCCTGTGGGAGTGGGTGGCCAGGGCCCGGGTACAGACCGACGGGCTGTGTTCAGAGCCCAGACGCCTCAAGGGAGAAGCTCTTGAATCCCTGAGGGCCAGGGATCTATACTGTGAGAGGCAGGGAGACAAGGTGGAGGAAGGAGAGGAGGTGGCCCCCAGGCCTCGGGCCCCAGAGGAGGACAGAGCCACCAAACCCTGCCCAGCGGCCTGTGTCTGCTCCCCAGACTCCCAGCACAGCAGCTGTGAGAACAAGGGGCTGAGACTCATCCCCTCTGGGTTCCCCAACCACACCCAACTCCTGGACCTGAGACGAAACAACTTCTCTGCCATTGCCCAGGGCTCCTTCCCTGGCCTGGCCTGCCTGGTGTCGCTGCATCTCCAGAACTGTGGCATCTCCCGCCTGGAGCCAGGAGCCCTCCATGGATTGGGCCAGCTGGTCTACCTCTACCTCTCTGACAACCAGCTCTCGGGGCTCAGCGCCGCTGCTCTGCAAGGCACGCCCCGGCTCCGTTACCTCTACCTGGATGGCAACCATTTCACGCAGCTGCCCAGGGCTGCCCTGAAGGTCCTGCCCGGGCTCTTCTCCCTCCACCTAGGGCGCAATGCTCTCCAGCATCTGGCTATGGGAGACCTGACCGGACCCAAGGGGCTTCACTGCCTCTACGTGAGTGGTAATCGTATCTCTCGCCTGGGTCCGGGCCCAGCCCTGGAGCTGGAGAAGCTGCACCTGGACAGGAACCAGCTTCAGACGGTGCCAACCAAAGCCTTGAAGGGGCTGCCTGCCCTCAGGGAGCTGCAGTTGTCAGGCAACCCCCTTCGGGTTCTGGAGGACAGGGCCTTTTGGCCTGTGGCCAGCTCCCTCCAGCACCTTTACCTAAATGGCACAGGGCTGCAGCAGGTGGGTAAGGGGCCCTTCAGAAGGAGGGGGTGGAGACTAGGGCAAGGGCACACCCACTTCCCTTCCAGCGTGTCTTCCGTGCCTGGCCAGGCTCCAGGCACAAAAGACACAGAGGAATGTAGAACAGGGCCTGCCCTCAGGTTGCTGAGGACTCTACTACTTCATACAGTAGATACACAGAAAAGTAAATTCAAGTAACACAATGTAACTTCGAGAGGAAGAAAGCATTAAACCCTAGGAGAGGAGGAGGAAGAAAGGTGTGGAGGAGGTGGCTGCTGACCTGGGCTAGGGATGCTGAGAAATGAAAGTGAGAAGGGATGGCATTCTAGGCATGGGGAACAGCCTGTGCAAAGGTGTGGAGGCAGGGGATGGAGCATCTCATTCAAGTTAGCAGACTAGAACAGAGTCCATGGAGAGGAGGGATGTGAAATAAGGTGGGAAAGGTGGGTAGCGAGCAGAAGAAGGCAAGTGGACACATTTTCCAGGGTCTCCTACCCTGTTTGCTGAAAACAGGGAGAGGAAGGGAGGGTCAGAGACCTTATCTCCCTTCAAACTCCAGCATCGTGTTGTAATATAAGGAGCACAGAACAGAAGCAGAGCTCCTGCGGAATACCTCATGCTAGCTTGGTCACCCTCAGCTTCCTTATCTTAAAACTAGATCCTTCCAAGATTTGGCCCTCCATGTTCTAAGGTCCTTCCCAGCCCTGACATTCCATGTTCTAAGGCCCTCCCAGCTCTGACATTCCCTCTTCTAAGGCCCTCCCAGCCCTGACATTCCTTGTTCTAAGGCCCTCCCAGCTCTGACATTCCCTGTTCTAAGGCCCTTCCAGCTCTGACATTCTGTGTTCTAAGGCCCTCCCAGCTCTGACATTCCCTGTTCTAAGGCCCTCCCAGCCCTGACATTCCCTGTTCTAAGGCTCCTCCCAGGCCTGACATTCCCTGTTCTAAGGTCCTCCCAGCCCTGACATTCCATGTTCTCCATTTTCTTCACCAGCTCTTCTCCCACCTACAGCTCAGGCCCCCAAGTCTCAGCCCCTGGTCCTCCTCTCTCCTCTCTGTTACACTCACCATTTTGGAGGGAGAAGAACAGGGGCTGAGTGAAGCTCTGATCTGTTGGAGAAAAGAGATGGGATTGAGGGCTGGTGGTCAAGTCAAAAGTCATTTGCTAAGCACCTCCCTTGTGCCAGGCTCTGTACTAAGCACCAGGATGCATGTAAATGGGGTTGGCTTAGGCAAGGATAAGGACCATCTTCCCTTTGCCAAAGGAGATCATCAGAGGCTGGGGGGAAAGGAGAAAAGAGAGAGTGTGTGTGTGTGTGTGTGTGTGTGTGTGTGTGTGTGTGTGTGTGTGCGCGCGCGCGCGCGTGTGTGTGTGTGGAGGGGTGACGAAGCACAAACTCAGGGTGAGCCCTCACTGCCCCATCCTAACCGCCTGGGCTTCTTCCTCTCCAGATCTCTCCAGGGGCCTTTGCTGGTCTGGGGCCTGGGCTCAGGACTTTGTACCTGGAGAAAAATCAGCTGCAGACGCTGCCGCCCATGGACAGTTTCACGCGGCTGGAGCTCATCAGCCTCAGTGAGAACCCCTTCCGCTGTGACTGCCGGCTCCTCCCGCTGCACAGGTGGGGAACCACCTGGGCTTTCCCCTGGGCTGGGCAGCAGAGGGAGCAGGTCCCACAGGCTGCATCTACAGGACTCCTGCTTCCAGCCTAGGGAGCCAGCTTCCCACATGGTGTGGCTCTGAGGCCAAGAGCCCAGGTCTTTCCCGTCCCTCTCCCAGACCTAGGCCCAGGGCTCCCCTCACTCAGTGGTCCCTCAGATGTCTTCTGAAAGAGTCCTTGAAAAATAAATAAATAAAGAGTCCCTGCCACCCAGCTGAGGTCCCAAGAGAAGTCTATGGCAAAGGAGGACAGAGCCCACCCAGGAGGCTTCACCTTCGGTCCCAATGTTTCGTGAGTCCTCCCTCCCCTCTCTTTCTAGGTGGCTCGCTGGCCTGAACCTGCGAGTGGGGGCCACCTGTGAGTTCCCAGTCAATGCCCGGGGCCAGAAGGTGAAGGCTGCTACAGCTGCCTTCGAGGCCTGCCCTGGCTGGGGAACCAAGAAGGGCAAACGGGGCCCACCGTCAGCCCAGCGACAAGCTAGAAAAGCCCGAGGCCAGAAGAAGCAGGCAGGACCAGTCAAGGTTGGTGGCAGTGGTGGCCTGGGAGGGAGAGGTCACATTGACTAGAACACTGTGATTTGGGGGAGGAGGGTCCTGTTTGGTGGGGGTGGGGAGGAAAGGGGGAGGAAATGTCACTCATTCGTTTGTTCATTCATTCATTCCTTTTTGTTTACTTTCTGGTTCAGTGGAGGGCCCAAAAGAAGCCCAAGTGACCTCCAGGACCTTAAAGTAATAATCCCTAGCATTTCTATAGTCCTTTAAAGTTTGCAGAGCACTTTACCAACATTATCGCATGGCCCTCACCCTGTAAGTAGGCACCATTATTATTCCCCTTTTTAGAGATGAGGAAACTGAGATAGACAGAGGTTAAGTGACTTGCTCAAAGTCATACATCTGGTAAGTGCCTGAGACCAGATTTGAACTTGGTCTTCCTGAGTGCTGGCCCAGTACTCTAACGATTGTACCACCTACTTGCTCTCAATCAAGAAAACTATTCCATCACCAAGTATTTATCAATCACCTCCTGTGTGCCAGGCACTGTGCTCAGCCCTAAGGTTACAAAAAAAGGCAAAAACACAGTGCAGCCCCCCCCCCCACATCTACCCTCAGGGAGCTCACAGTCTTATGGTGGAAGCAATATGTCCCTAGATAAACATATGCCAGATAAATGCAAGGCAATTAGAAAGGGAGAATGTGTGGTAGAGCTGGGGGGAAAGATCAGGAAAGGCTGAAAAAAGAGATGGCTTTTACATGCCCCTGACTTGGTGGATCACCCCCAGAGCACCGTCTTTACTTCTAGGTGCCATATTCTAGGACCAGTAGCAAACATTGTAGAAGAGATGGGTGTCGAGAATTTAAACTCTGCCAATAGGAAGATTTGTTTAAAGAGCTGGGAATGCTTATCCTGGAAAAGAGAGGACTCAGGAGACAGGATCATTGTCTTCAAGCATCTAAAAGGCTGTCAGAGGAGAGAGGGATTAGCCTTATTCTGCTTGGTCTCAGGGGGAAGAACGAGGCGCATGGGGTAGAAGGGACAGTGAAGTCCATTGAGAGCAATCTAACATTCAGATGGATTTCTTTAAGAGGGAAAAAGTCTCTAATCCCTGGAAAAAGGCCTTCAACACATTGGGCCAGTGCTCTGAGGAGCAGTTATGAGAAGACATGGATAAAATGGGTACAAGATAAGAAGGCATGGAGAGGCTACGACTGGCCCCAGGTTGGGATGTTGGCAGGTGCTCGAGAACAGATAATCTCCCATAGGGAAATGGAGATAAAGGACAGGTAAGGTCAGGAAGCTAGCTGGATTTCTAAATCCTTAGCGTGGAAATCAATTGGCTTTTTGCAAGATGGTGAGTGAGAGAGAGGGGAGAGGGGAAGACCAAGGGCTGAGCCTTGGGGACTGAGCTGCAGGTGAAGGAGAGAGAGGGAGATGGCTCCAGAAGGCAGAAGACTCGGGAGCAGAATCACTCAGACAGAGTCTGAGGAGGAGGTGAGCCACTAAGGAGGCACTGAGGTAGCATGGCCGAGTGAAAAAGGTGGTGAGCGTGCCTGCAGTCAGGAGCCCTGGTTTTGCCTCTGATTTCTCCTTGCTGTACGACCTAGGAGCAAGCCCTCATTCCTCTGAGCCTGTTTCCTTATTTCTAAAAGGACGATAGTAGACAATGGTACTTGCATTCCCTATATCACAATAGCAGTGTTTTACTCTCTGAATTTGTCTGTTCTCGGAAATTGTCTCTGGTGGTAGAGAGCAAAGTGCTTTGTGTAATCTGCGGACTCCAGGCACCCACAGACGGGGTGCCATCCTGGGATCCGCCTTCTGGTCCAGTTCTAAGAGGGAAGAGACAAGGCCTGCTTACAGATTGCTCCCTCTCCTAACCCATTCCCAATACAGGTCTGAGCTGCTGTTTCTCAAAGTCCAAGAGAGAGAGTGAGCTGGACCTTAAAGAGGGGATCCATCGTGTTCTGCATCTTAGGCAACCAGTCATGGGAAGGTCCTTGTGCCCTCTCAGCAGGGCACCGCTGAGCATGGGGAGGTTCCACTCAGAGACTCCCAAACAGACTCGTGCCCTGTAATCCCACCATCAGATCAGTCAAAATGTAATTCTACTCTTTGTTTGCCCAGGTGGGGAGGGCAAGACCCAGAAAAAGGACCAGCCAAGTTTGAGAGCTGCGACCCTCGATAGAAGGCTGCTGGCCCCGCCCGTATCTCTTCCACTCACTTCCCAGCCCCCCTCAGATGGTGCCGCTGGATGGGGATGGGAAGTTGACTTGTATCTTTATCTAAGTCTTGCTCGCAGCTTTCACCTCATCCTCTGATGCAGTGAATGGATGCCTCTTGGCTGCCTGGTGGAGGGAGCATCTTGGCCAATATCCTGTTCTCTTGAAATAAAATGAAGACAAACAGAAGTTGGGTGACATTTTTCTCTCTCTTTTAAGCAAGGTGGGGGGGGACTTCCTTTTTCTTTAAAAAATTTTTTTTTTATTCTGACCTTAAAAACCCCCAAGATGAGCATTTCCATATTTACAGCAGAAGACAAAAAGATTGCATGAGAAACCAAATCTCCATTTCATATCACTTTCGTTAAAAAAAAAATGCATATACTAAATTCTTCATGTTACTTTCAATGCTTTCCTGCTTATCTGTACTTCCTTCTGAACTTGCTTCTCTTCCCTTCTGTGAACTTTTAAAATGTTTCCATAGTGCCTTTTTTCTTGGCATCACTATTGCTAAACCCTCCTTCTCCCCCTCAAACCTTCCCCGCCCCCAATTAAAAGCCCAGAGAAAGATTAAAACATCCTTGTAACAAATAAACATCATCAAGCAAAATGCATCCCCGAAGTGGCCAAGTCTGAAAAAATGTCTCTTTCTGACCCTTGTGTCCAATAACTCTTGGGAAGGGGAGGAGAGGAGGAGGTATCGTGGTTCATCCTGTCAGTCACGATTGTTCAGTCATTGCATTGATCGGTGGTGTTAAGTTTTGCTTGCAGAAGCTCTTCTGGTTCTGCTCACTTCATTCCGCATCAGTTCATACTCCTCCGGATTCTCTGAGATTGCCTCCTTGGTCATTTCTTAGGGTGCAGTAATATTCCATTATGTTCTTACACAATTTATTCAGCCATTGCTCAGATGACGGGCACCCCTTCACGTTCTAGTTCTTTGCTTTTCCTCTCCCCCCACCCCCTTCTTTTTGACAGCTCCTTCAGGAACAGGAAGTTTGCTTTGCTCATGACTGACTGTTCCCTCCCTGGTGTTATCCCACCTCCAATCCTGATTTTTTTTCCCCTGTTGAGTTTGATGTATTTCTACAACTGCATGTGTTCGTACCTCTTTTGTCTGGTTCAGATTAGAGTGAGGTTTAACTTAAATCCCCTCCCCCTCCCTCCCTGTCTGTATACTTTTTTTGCCAACTCTAATTTTGACAAATAGAAAAAGCCACCCCCTTCTCCCTCCTTTCTACACTAGGATATTCCTCCTTTTTCACTCCCCTCTTCAAACTCCCAGACCAGAATCAATTCACCCTCAGCTCCTCTTGTTTTTTTTTGTTTGACCCCCATAATACCCCTTGAAGATGTTATAATTCTGAAAGAACACACTTTCTTCTCTTATTAGAATGTTAGCACCACATCATCAAAAAAGCCCTTCCAAATTCTCAAATAAATTGACCTTTCTAGGTTTCTTTGGTCTCTTGTGTTTGCATTGAGAAGTTCCTGTTCAGCTCTGATCTTTTCATCAGAAAGTCTCTTATTCCTTTAAAGGTTCATTTTTTTCTCCTGTAGGATTATATTCGATTTTGCAGGACAAGTCACTCCTGCTTGTAACTCTACAGATTTGGACTGCTGCAGGTTACATGTATCTCTGGTTCATCTCTGGAGCACTAGGAGGCTGTGAGTAGGCTTGTCTGTGCCTGGCTTGACTTTGCTGGGAGCCCCCTTTCCTACTGCCTCTGGGCTTCTGGCTGACTTTGTATGGAGTTTGGGGGTAGAAGCAGTCCCTTCCTGTAGTCTTTCATTGAATATTTTTTTTTTTTTTTTTTTTGCTGAGGCAATCAGGGTTAAGTGACTTGCCCAGGGTCACATGGCTAGTTAAGTGTCAAGTGTCCGAGGCCGGATTTGAACTCAGTTCTTCCTGACTCCAAGGCCAGAGCTCTATCCACTGCTCCACCTAGCTGCCCCCCTCATTGCATTTCTTGATCACTATTTGGTCTGGCGCATAGTTCAGGTTTTTATGGGAGCTGCCCAGTCTGCCACTGTTCAGGCAGCCATCTTGGCCACAAGTGTCTTTGGTCTTCTCCATGGGCAGCCTGGAGGGTCTGGTTGGATCCAGTGTTTGGATCAACCAGACTTAATCAACCAAAGACCCTCACTTGTTTCCACACACCATGATATCTGGAAATATCCCATTTCCTGAATGGGTGACACCCTTCAGAGACCTCTTCACCATTGTGAAGGAACTGGCCCTATTCCCTTATGTTCTTGGTCTGAAGTCATGGTTAGAGGGTGGGTGGGAAGGGGCAAGGGAGCTGGGACTGCTAGTCAATCATCTTATGCCAGCCCCACCCCCATGTTGGGTGAGTCTTGGTCCATGCCCTGGTCCACTGGTCGTACTCATTGCCCCAGCCTTCAAAAGGGACACTTAGAAGTCGAGAGAGTTGAGTCATTGAGGACCCTACTCTATTCCAATCAGCATTAATCTATTTGATATGATCCCATAGGGGTGGCGCTTCTAAGTTCTGTCTATCAGGTCCCAGAGTTGTGAGCTGCAGATGGAAGTGTCCCTTGCTCAATCATAGGAAGCTTGCTAGAGGCCCTCCACCCTTGTTTTCCCTTGTCATGGTGACCAAGCCCAGTGTGACAGAGGTCACTACACGGAAAGTCCCCCAACTAATTTTCTACCTCCGGAGCATTCTCTGACATGAGCAGGTGTCCATCTTCTGACCACCTAATCAGTTGAGATACCCTGTTTTACCCATCTTCTGACCACCTAGTCAGTGGAGATACTTCTTGCTTTGCCCAACCCGTGACCCTGCTGATACATTGTTTGCTTATTTTAGCCTATGCATCATGTCAACCAATGGAATTATTTTGTATCTGGTATACCTGTTCTTGAATATCTAGATACCTAACCCTATATCAACAGGGCCCTGGAAGAAGGGGGCATCTCAGATCATCAGGAAGATCTGAGGTCCACCTCATTAGATGGGACCATGGACTTAGAACTTAGAGCTTAGAACTCTGCCTCAGTCTCTCTTATTGTAGGATGGCTAATTTAGCCATTATTCCACCCTCTTACAAGGCAACTGGATGGTGCAGTGCTAGGGCACTGGGCTTGGAAACAGGAAGACTCATCTTCCTGAGTTCAAATCTGACCTGAGACACCTACTCACTGTGTGACCCTGAGCTAGTCACTTAACCCTGTTTGCCTCAGTTTCATTCTTCGTAAAATGAGCTGGAGAAGGAAAGAGCAAACCACTCCGGTATCTTCGCCAAGAAAATCCTAAATGGGATCACTAAGAGTCTGAAATGACTGAATGACGACAATAACAACAACTTGAGGGGGAGGGAGTGCTGGCCCCAAGCAGGCTGGGTCCTTAGTCCCACCTCCAACCCAAGATATATGGGGCCAGAAATCCAAGGTTCTTGCTTTCCTTGAGGGTTAGGCAGATCTGCGACAATAGCAACAAGGACAACTAACATTTCTATAGTGCTTTAGGGTTTGCAAAGTACATATGCTATTTCACTCGATTCTCCCCGCAACCCTGTGAGGTAGGTGCTGCTGTGTTTGACAGAGGAGGAAACTGAGACTGAGAGAAATTAGGTGACATGCTCAGAGTTATACACTTCATAAGTGTCTAAGACTAGATCTGATCCCCAGGTCCAAGCATTATTCCCTGGACCAGCTGGCTGCCTCCTCGAGAATTCTCTATTGCCTCTTGTCCCACTGGGGAGGGGGTCCAAAATGGCCTCGAGAGAGGTCATCCCAGCTCCCCTTTTGCCTTTAGTGGAGAAAAGGAACGGTCACTGTACGCAGGCAGGAGTGGGGAGTTGTGCCTGCCTCCCTCCCTCCTGGTTTCTTCTAGGCGAAGCTCCTCAGGGGGTTTACAGGGAACCGTTTGGCACCCATAGAAGAACATGATGGCTGCCCCCAGGTCGTCGCCTCATTTCACAAAGAACCCGCCTTTGCAGAAACTGTTTCCGATGAAGTTGACTCTTCCTGTAACGACTTGAAAGATTATTTAGTTTCACTTTTCACAAGTAAAAGTCTGTGACATACATACAGTGTGTCCTGCGGTGAGAACATCGTGTTTCATTCCCAGGGAATTTTATTTATTGTGGTTTTTTAAGTGAACATTTATGAAATTTCAAGCCTGATGGCATGCTGTTTTTATTCAGCAAACAAACCAAAGAAACTAAAACTTAAGCTTGATTTAAAAAAAAAAACAGCTAAACTTTTGTTTTAAAAATACAAACATTGCAAAGGACACCTTTTTAATCCAACAACTTTCCCCGTACTTTAATACAGATAGATCACACTGCTGAGTCTTGTCTTCTTAGCTAAAAATGCGTCTTTCCAACTGGACCCTCATCCCCTCACAGTACAGTATGTCATAAAGTGAGACAGAGGGGGGGAGAGAGAGAGAGAGAGAGAGAGAGAGAGAGAGAGAGAGAGAGAGATACAAAGAGTTTAACTGACTTGCCCAGGGTCACACAGCTGATAAGTGCCTGGTGCAAGATTTGAACTCAGCTCTTCCTGAGGCAAAATCTAGCCTTCTCTGCACTTTGTTGCAGGTACTGAGCTAAGTGTTAGGGACACAAATAAAAGCCAGTGAGACAATCCCTGCCCTAGAGTTAATAGGTGGGTCTGTTTCTTAATCTTGCACCAGATTCTCCAGAAACTGCAGGAGCAAAGTGAAAGAGGAAGCTGGAAACCTGAGTAGCAACGGAAATTATTGAAGCAATCCTGACTAGGAGCTCTCAGAGGGCAGGGACTGTCTTTAGTCTTTCTTTGTATCCTTGGCACGTAACACAGTGCCTGGCACATAGTAGGTGCTGTAAATGCTTATTGACTGAATAGGAAAGCACCCCCCAAGTGGGCTCTGGAGTACTGGTAGCACCCTGTAGCAAGGAGGCTGCGGACACATTCTGCTGTTCCCAGCTAGGTACCTATGGTTGTGGCAAAA